TATTTCAGTGTACAGTGTTTTGATACTCCCTTGAGTGGAGGTGATATTACATTTAAAATAAATGCGGTTAGGGTTTACGCTCTCACTGGAGACCCCACGTGATTGGCCGAACACAACTCAACACCTTCGTGAAGAACACTGCAGCCTGAACAGAACACGTCTTGATTCAGTGACGTTTCGGCCAATGGCCCTTCCTCATAGCATGCATTTTTTTTGTATTTTGTGCTATGAGGAAGAACAATTATCCGAAACGTTACCAATTACATATATATTTTTTTAAGGCCACAGTGCTATTCACGAATGTGTTGAGTTTTGTGTTGTTGTTAATTGTGCATGTGCACCACGGCCAACACAGCAGCAGCAGCATCCCACGATTGGCCGGGGTCGTCGATGTCCGCCACCTCCCACAGGCTCCGCCGCAAGAGACAACAAGGTCAGCGATATCGGACATCCCTCCGCGGTGTTCATTTACAAAGGCAACCGCCCCACGGCCAGAGAGGAGTCGATGCTCACCGGAGCGTGCACGCTCGCAGCGACGCACGATCGGTCGCCTACTTCAACTAAATCTGCCGCCGCAAACGGGAAAAAAAACTGGAAAATCGTAACGAACATTCCCATTCCCCACCCGCGCAGCCAGACACCACGGTGCATTATGGGAAACGACATAGAGCGCCGGTGAATCATCGTGAAAGCAAATGAAGTGTAATAGGTTGGGCATGAGTCTACAGCTGTCACGTTTAATCGTTGGGCGTTTGTACAAAATGCGAGGAGTTTACGAGGCTCTCCGATGTGTGTTCGAGTTTTGCCACGTGTTGTTCGCAATCGGAACCGAGTTATTCAGTTCCTGACAAGGCTCTCAGTACGTGTGACGAAACGTCGGACATCGTGCCGAACAACACGCGGAACAACCAGAAAACTCATTGTAGAGCCGTGAAGCAGCACGAGCACGACAACACACGGAACACAAGGCACCATCAACTTCGTTTTCCGATGCTCATTGCTGCTGAAACTCGTTAATTATGGCTTGTGCTGGCCAGCAGATCGACTGATTGGTTGTTAACTGATATTATATTCATGTCAAAAGGTTTCAATATGGCGTTTTAACATCTTGACACCTGTTTTGTTGCCAGAAAAAAGGAGAAAACCTATTCTCATATTTTGCTACTGGCAAAGGAGGTCCCATGATCTATTCATGTCATATTCCATTCTGTCACTCGCAAATGTAGACAAATATGTACATAACGTTTAGATGTATTTTGCCGAAATAACATCTCAAGGTGCAGACGTGCAATTGCTCGTGCCACTGCTAACGCTAGAGGCAACTCGAGAGGGCCCCTAACCAGGGTTACTTGGCCTACTCTTCTACTCTGGCCCGACATGATGAGATCGAATCGGCAGACGTCTGGATGATTCCAGTGTGCTGACCACGAACACCACCATGGCAGATGTCGTCTCTCGTTGGCAGGCGCCGTGCGGGCACCGGCCGCGTCGCCTTCTCCTGGCTGAAGAAGGCAAGCGGCAATGCTGAGGATCTGGGTTCGAATAATGATCGGCTGCCCGAGACCAAGACAGCGTCTCACATTGCGGAGTTCATTGATGGTCACCGATGACTGCAAGAGATTATGTTTGTTTTACTTAAGTCCGAGTATCCGATTTGCCGACCTAAAGCAATATCATTTCAAGGGGAGTGATCTTATATAATTCACAATGAGGCATTAACATTATGAAAGGTTGAACAATGTGTATAATATCTAATACCATTACCATGGGGTTATTTTAATAATCATGAAAATGTAAACATGTTATGCACTATCATCAGTGATGCACTTCGTCGTATTTGTTTTGAATTCACAGTCAAGAGAGAACACCTGCAATGCACTGTATAAACGTACTCATTTCAACTTGAACAGAATGCAAAAAAATCGAGTTTGAGTGGTTACCAAATGTTTTACAGTGAAATAGATTTTAAAAAATATAAAATTGTATTAAAATTGCCACCTATCAGGAATCTGCAAGTCACATTTTTTACCATAACATTTGTACACCATGTAGTTTGTCACTATAAGAGCGGTCCCACGTTAAATTCACATTTGTGTGCGTTTGCATTTGCCAAGGTGGCTGATCCAGACTCTTACAAATGACCAGTGTTTCTGCCTGAAGACTTACCATTCATCACGCGACGATACGCCCATGGCCAAGTTATGCAGGGTATTGAGAGAAGACCGGCTCATACTCAGAGGTCTGGCCAAATGTGCACAATGAACTATGCAGCAGTGCACATTTCTCAAAGGGCGGAATGAGCTAAGTGAAGGCTTTCCTTCCCACTTGCTTGATTTTAACCCAGCAAAAGTAAAATGTTAAATTAATTAAACAAGCTGCCAATACGCCTCCTTCAATCGTTTGTCTCTCCACATTAAGCACAAAGGTATATTGTTTACCTCCCAGCAGCTGCACGGTCTTCTGGGAGGGCATCTTGGTTCAACACAAGCGTACCACCCTAGGTCTGTTTCAACATCCAGTGTCTCATCAGCAGAGCGAGGCAATCGTTCCACAAGGGCATAACGATATCGACTGTGGTGTTTCGATGTCGATGTTCAGATGTGGACAGGGGACAGAAGTGGGCGCAACAAAGCCGAAACGATGTCTAAAGGAGCAAGTGGCTTCAGATCATTACTCGTCATGCACGACAACACGAGTGCGACAGCACGCGGTTTAGATATCCCACTCGCACTTGTAATCCATATGGAATGTGTGAATCATTACATGGACGCATGTAATTCTAATTGTATTTATTCTGCAATATTCTGCTTCTGCCATGTGCAGTACCGATGTGACAGGGCGTTATTTTTTAAGTTATCATGACGCTGCTTCAGTGAACTTTAACATTTCCCAAGCAGGGCCATTCGACTGAAACATTAAGACCTTCCTTTGCTCTCGGTGAATCTGTTTATCGAATCCCTCGTGCACGTGACAATGGAGTCATGCGGCGGTGGCGTCACGGTGAGGCCACGAGACCTGCATCCCAGGGGTCTCCAGTGTTTCCTCCAGGCGCAGCAGTTTACGTGACGGGCAAGCTCACAAAACCTCCCCAACTCTGTCCACGCGGGCGGTATGAGTGGGCACACCGCAGTTCGGTGGGTCGTGTGTGGTGGGGTAACGTGCGGGGTATTCCCTCCTTCTCCACGATGTCTGCCCAGCGTGGAAGAGTGGGCCACAATAGAGCTCACTGTCGAAGAGGGCATATCGCCAGCAGTCGTGTGAGCAGGATATTGCAGGGCTGCCCCTTTACAAATGGAATTGGAGTCCATCTTAAACACGTTATGCATTGACATGTTTCCACTTTCAACAATTTGGTCGTGGATACGGGACGTGCACATTGGAGAAGCCTTTATCCTGCAGTGGGTAAATCATGGCTGTTGATGTTGATACAGTATATTTATCAATATAGCACATCTGTATTGTCATGGGATATCATCCAGCGTAACAAGTATATGTTGTAGTTTTAGGTCAAACAAGTATGACATATAGAACTCGAGCACAAACCAGGCCAAAGTTGCACTCTCGTGGGTTTTAAGTAATTTATTGTTTCACGATAAGAACCCCCACGGATGCAAACGGATGTTTTTGTTAAAATTCTGGCGATGTATTCGCTGTGGTCCGTCAGAGTATGGTTTCCACCATTCCCACTGTGGACGAAACCTGGCCAAGTTTCTCAAGTCAGCCTCGGTCTACAATGATCAATGCTGTACAGCGTACTGCGATGAAGCTGAACACAGCAATACCGGTGGTACCAGATCTCAGTACAAAATAATTCCTGCCGCTCGAACGCGAGACGCCGAGTCCCGGGACTGTCCGGGTCATACCCGGGTCAAAGCCCCGACGGTTGGCAACCGGAGACAGATCAGTGCATCCTCCCCGTGTGAGAGTTGCACTCAGCGATCGCAGTGAAACTTCACACGGCCGCGCGCCGCGTGATGCAGTTTCCTCCTCGCCCTCGAGTCGTCCATCACAGCAGCGCGCAACCCTGCCGACCACGTATTGTTATTATCAGCCGCGCTGCGGACACCGACCAAAACGAAATTGCGTTTTCTCTCCGACTGCCCCCACCACCCCTGGCCATGTCCGTCTTTCGTGCCAAGCTCTGCCACCAGCCGGGGGGGTCGGGGGGATGGCCGCGATTCTCCGATTGTTCCGAGCAAGACGGCGCCGGAGGCTCCGACCGCCGGGAAGTTCTTCTCGTCGGCCACGCGTTGCTCTGCCGCTGCCGCCGCTGCCGCCGCTGCTGCCGCCACTGCTCCCGCTGTTGGGGTGGTTTTTAAACAGAGTTGTTGAGCACGGGGCCCGAAAGGCCAACATGTCAAGCGGCCAGCAACAACAGCACTGTCAAATTTGTAATAGATATCGACCGTGTAAACACATGTGTTGAATTAAGCAAAGTTATTTTCACAGCTTGGGAAAGGGACGATGGGAAGGAATTGTCAAGGTAGAGCAGTTGAGAGACGAGACAGCGTCTGGGAGACCTCAACGTGGCTGGAGGAATAAATGACTTTAGTTCATGGGAACAGTCACCATGGTAGGAGTGAAATAAGAAAATTATGCGCCTGAAAAATCACTCCCAGAAATCCACGTGGTTGATGGGATTTTTAGTTTTTACGTAGAGAGGAGGAGGCCTATGGGAAGAGGAGGGGTATCGTCTCCTTGTTAATTTCATTGCAGAAATGTCACCAGAATGTCCACTTCGGCTTACTGGCTATTGTGGTCATCAACACATTGCTGTATAAAATGTGAATGTCATGGCGATAAATCTGCATTTCTGACGTTGCAGCGGGATTACCGGGTTTCGCATAAATATAATTGAAGAGTGTCTGCTTTCCAGACAATAAAACATATATACATCTGAAACAGGTGGCTCACATCATCATCATTTTCTGTACAAGCGGTGTATTTTGTTCTTGTTTTGAATGATTGCGTTACCAATAACACACGAGGCTGCCGGGTAGTTACAATATATCATTCTTTATTTTTTTACTAACGGACATTTATATCACAAATTTGAGTTTGGGATGAGAATTGTTATTATTAAAAAAGAGAGATAAAGAATATGAACGCGTGAGACATTAAACACAACATTATTTCCCACACAACATCAAGCTTCGTAAAAAAAACAGCTCCAAGCCGTTTAAACAAACACATCTCCTCGTGTTCATATCATAACCATTGTCGTTATTTGTATTACTATTATACCACGGAGAAGCGATGGGGGGATGAAAGCATCACAACATTGTAAAGCAACCCAAGACGGCGGCGCAATCGTCGACAAGCGGCACGGCACGTGCAGGCCGTGGCAATCTAGCAGACAGCGAGCGAGCGGCAGGAGGGAGGTGGTGACGGCACGTGGATGGCGCTTTAAGCCTACAGACGACCACGACGACGACTACGCGGAGCTGCGCAGGTGGATACACGCCCATGGGCGTGTACCCATGGGTACACGCCCATGGGTACACCCCCATAGGTACACGTCCATGGGTACACGTCCATGGGTACACCCCCATAGGTACACGCCCATAGGTACACGTCCATGGGCGGGAGGCAACGAGTACTGCCATTGCACGCCAAGCACGGTCGGCACCAAGTGAGGATATTTACAAAGACAAAAATCCCCCGTGTAGCCTTAACAGACTGTAGGGGCAAGTGTTGTTAGCGAGCACCTATGAAGGCCGGAACGGTACACGAGGGGGTGGGTGGCCAGCACCACGCCCGACCGCCTTTGTCTCCCCAGTGGCGATGTTTACACACCACACCAGGTACTCATTTGAGGCAGAGTCGACCTAGGGGAGGCCCAGGACCGGTTCAGATAATCGTCACCGTTGTTGGCCGTGAGCGGGAATCGAACCCGGATTGCCGGGTTCATAGCGCAGCGCTTATCGCTACACTACCGCTCCCCACACTCTCACGTGCGCGCTCGCTCTCTCAAGCGCGCTCCGAGTCCCGCCGTGGGTTCGTGGCCCGGTCTGCTGGAAAGCTTTCGCCACGCGATGCGTCAATCGTCCGGTCATGGTGCAAGCTCGACAGCAGAAAAGGCTCGACTCTTATCCAAACTCGGAAAAATCACGCTGGGATCTAATGGGTACGTCACGACTAATTGGGAGCGCAAAATGCCAGCTTCAAGCATGCTCAACATTGGTGGCCTCTAATGCACCGATATGCACGGGTTGTGTTCCAGTGTTGTGCTGGTGTGAAATTCAATGGGCAGCCTTAATGTACAGACTACTTCAAACGCCCATAAAATAAATACATCGGATTACCCAGACGTCTGTAGTCCCAATCACGGAGCTCAGCCGTGGAGCGAGCGGCTCGAAATCGTAAAGTTGCGAGTTCAAGCGTTGGTTGGTGGCTGACTGAGCTCGTGATCCCTACAGGGACGTCAAGTGAGTTCCACTTCATGGCGAAGTTAACAGTGGTTGTCCTACGGGTAGACTTGGCACCGCCGTAGGAATGTGGAATTTCCACCACTGGCTCAGGTCTGTGAAGAGGAGATGAGCATCGCCTCAATGCTCATGTGAGCAGCAAATCCCCATTGCAATTCACCCAAGTTCTTAATGGCAGTGTTAAACTCTGCATTTACCGTTTATGATGCTACAGTTACAAGTTTTCCCCAAAGACAACCGCGCTTATGAATATACTGAAAGGCGGACATTCTATGGCTCTGAACAATGCAAATCGCTGCATAATAATCACATTACAAAAAGCAAGCCAATACCTAATTTAATGTAAAGGGTCGTGTTGAAATATAAAATTAAATACTAAGCCTACCAACATAAAAAAACATTAAAATATTGTTAGGAAATACGCAAACTAAGACTGGCAAAATGTCGGTAAATATGAAAAGTTAATGTTTTAATTATCCATCTTTAATAAAGTGGCAGAATAAAACAATGTTGCAACCGTCTATCAATATCACTGGCGTAATTCAACATATAAAACCTAGTTATGTAAAACAAACTTTGAAAATGACGTTTAAATCATGAATCAATGATAACAGCGATGAATTTATCCTCGTCCATTCAGTCACGTGTAACGTGGAGTTCTGTTGCTTCGATAGCTGCTACATGCGGTGCACCGGCCATGCTGGTGAAGCAAATCATACGCAAGTGTCGTGTAAATCACTTTCACTGCACCCTCCCGCGGTTAAACACAGCCAGCACGACTCGACAGCCTCAAAGGAGCCCGTGGGAACCGGCACGAACTTGCGACGCTCGAGCAAATGCTCAGGCGCTCCTCAACTAGGCCGCAGCGTGCGATGCGTGAAATGTGCTGACAGGTTGCTCCCGAGGAATACAACTTGAAAATAGCGTCGAGATTGCGTGACGTAAAAAAAGTTACTCTGCGCCTCGTAGCGACATCGCGTTGCCTGGGCGGGCCAAGGAGAGTTCCTTGGCCCGTGTCCAGTCTGGGTCTCAATTTAGGGTCACAGCAGGTCAAGGCGTGCGAGTGTGGATGGCCATCGGCATTTTGGACACCGGCCACTTTTGAATTAGGTAACGATGTGATCATTCGCATGGTGTTATGCGTCACAGTATATGTAGTTTTGCATCGAACAAAGACCCATATCTGACAGAGAGGGTCCTTGTCGATGAACATCGGGCAGTTCGCCAGCATTCGTTGAAGCAAAGCCTAAACTAATTGTCGAAAACCACTGCAAAGTTTGCTTGAACCAATGCTGCAAAAAAATGCACTCCCGGTAGGCCATTTTAGCTGATGGGATGTGTAAAAAAAAGTTTGTGTTTTACGCGGAGGGACATAGATGGGAAGGAGCCATATTGTCTGCTAATTTATTTCGCTAATTTTGAATTACTCTGTAGATCATCATTCACATCCCCCAAACTTGTGCTTGGTAAACATTGTAAAATGCACTGCATTGCAACCGGACTGAGCTCAATTATCATTTACATCTGCCCTGTGCTCGGTCCCACATGGGCAACTTGCTGTCCCGCACGATGAACAAATGCGCGTGGAATTCAAAAGGCCATTGACAGCAAACACTTCGGCAGCCAATGGCGTGGCAGTGGAGGAGGACACGCCGGGGGTCACGCGGCCCGTGGCACTACAGGAAGCGACTTAGCGGAGCGAGCGCACGGCCACATCGGCCGAACATCTCAGACGATCGCACGGCACACGCCGTGATTGCGCCATGAACATGCTGCATGCCGTTAACCTCACGTTCACAATACACCGCCTGTAAACAACGCATTGTTCATTACCGTCGCAAGCAATTGCAATGCAAAATTTGTTTTTTTACATTTATATAAAAGTTAAATCAACCACTTAGTTTTTTTTAGTAATCTGACGCTCTTTAGACCTGTCCCTGAATCTGTTATTACTGAGAGGATGCTCGCGTTGTGGAGTGGCGAGCGCCGCCTGTATTCCAGGGCAGGGATTGCCTTCAAACGTGCCTCGACCACACACATACACACAGTACTCAGTTATTATTTGGTTAAGATCAACAGATTTTATCTTTAACATTTACTTTGCAAACCTAATACTGTCCGAGCATGTCATCTTAAACCGTACAGTCGCAACCCCCCAGCATGTGCATTATACACTGCTGCATCCTAAATGCAGAATATAGGCAAATGTCAGTGCACCATATGACCGTTAAAAGAAAAGGCCGCAACACAAGTGGAGGGAGAATAAACCACGAGAAACGTAAAGCCAGGACTCTCCATTATACACACAAATGCGACCTGATGTACTTATGGAAACAATCAGTCCATAAGGGCCACACACTGCCTTGGCGGAGGGTCGTTTAGATGTGTCTGAGTGTGCTATTTGTACTTGTCCACCACTGCCAATGCAGGGTCATCAAAACGCAAACCATCCTGTCTACGCGAATTCACTTAGCTCCATTGACATACACACACCACCAGCACCACCGCCAGCACCACCACACTAACCACCACCGCCAGCATCACCACACTCATCAGTACCACCATACTCAACAGCAACACCAACAACCGCCATTCGCCACTAAGTGGCGGTGACGTTACCACGACGCTTGTGCCAGGCTATGTGCACGTTGAGGCCACGTGAGGTGTCGAATGCCCGCTGGCAGGAGGTCACGGGACAGACCCAGGTACCACAGGTCGACTGACTGAGATGACTGGCCGATGCACCACCTGTGCCCCCTACTGCGCCAACTTGCTGTGTTTAGCCGCGCGGCGCTCGGCTCGTTGTTGTGAGCGTCGCTCCTCCGCCCTCCGTGTTGTTGGAGGGCGACTGCCTCCAACTACGCAGTAGCAGCAGCGTCCTTCACGAGCCTCCTCCACAGAGGCCGATCTTGACACCGCTGGTACCAGTCATCGGCAATTCCACTCAGCTCCACATTCTCCTGTACCACATCACTCCATCTCTTCTCTAGCCCGTGCCACGCCCGTTTAGCCCCCTCTATCCAGCCAAACAAAAGCTGTTTGGGCATGCGGTGACTGGGCATGCGGGCTACATGACGCAGCCAACGCAACCTTGCCTGCCGGAGCTCACCAATGTCCAGATCTTTCAAGGATTGGTGAGCTCCTCACACATTCAAGCCTGGTTAAACCCAGGATATATCGTAGGCAGGCCAGCCTAAATATTTCTAACTGGCGAAGAGGTTTCATTAGGGGGGTCCACGTTTCGCAAGTGTAGAGAAGGGAAGGCATGGCCGTGGCCGAGAAGATCCCGAAGCTTTGTGTGGAGCTACAGACCAGGTAGCTTCCACACAGCATTATGCAGCCGATGAAAAGATAATGTCGCTCGACTGATTCGGAGTGAGACCTATGCTGTCAAACTGGAGCTGGTCATGAGCACACTGCCCAGGTATGGAACACTCTCCACTCTCTCCACAGTTGCACCATCGTCAATTGGGAGTTGTGGTAGTGCAGTGTCTGATGTTACAAAATACCCAGGCAGGTGCTTAGTTTTGGTGAGGCTGATGGTAAGGCCTCACCTCTTCGTGGAATGCTCCAGGTTCAGCAGTAGTGCATCCAACTCCTCCTCTGATTGAGCAGCAATCACCAGATCATCGGCATATATCATGGTATACATAACATATATAACACCACCACCATCACCACCACGAGCACCACCAAACTCACCACCACCAGCACATTCACTACCACCACACTCACCAACACCACCACCACGCTCACCACCACCACACTCACCACGACCACACTCACCGCCACCATTTCGTTGAAGATCTCTTCAACGAAACGGGACCACGATGACGGCGGCAAAAGTCGCACTTGCCCTTTCAAATGACGTTTTAATCTGGAGTACAAATATTCGAATTTTCTATTTTAAAATATACGTACTCTAGTTCTGGCGCTCTGCACACATTATCACTTGTGATGGTGAGAGGAGAGCAAATTACACAATGTCACAGGCTCTGCAAAGCTAAGCATAACATTACAGATATCCTTATTTGTCAGTATGAATTGCTAACCTAATGATTTAACACTTTCTAAGATTACCCCCAATACCATACTGCAGTTAAACAATCATGTCTCTGCATGTACCATCTAGCCTTCTCAGTTAATCATCTACATATCGTCCTCGTTTTGTACAAGGATTTCTCCACGAGGGTACATTTCTCTTAGATTCCATTGCACAATCATGGGAATGCGGTAATGTATGACAACATCACCTATGCAGAGACGACTTTGACTAAACTGCAGCCCTAACACAGAGCACGGACGCGACGTCGTAAAATGTGCAATGGTAAATCAACAAAATCTTCACAGGCATCTCAATGGCCTCGTCACTTTCACACGAGAAATGAGAATGACACCGAAGTAACAGGAAGAGCAGTAATTGCCTGGTGACCCTAACTAATGAGAGGTTATTCATCTGCAACAAAAAAAAACAAACCTCAGCACCATCATAAAGGGAAGAACAAATGGGACATTTTCATTCACATCCCTCGCGGCCTTGTAATCTGAGTGGTTAAGACTTTGGGTTGGCGACTCAAAGTAGCTACAAAACTAGCATCATAGACAAAAACGGAACCGTGGAAAATACAAAATATTACAGTACAGTATTCCATTTCCATGAGACCTCGTGTCTCATCCCGACACCTGATGGCACCACCAATTAGGGAAACAGCACAGCGCTAATGTGCAGTGTAATAATGGGTCTGCATTCACCTGGGGTGCACGCGCACCCCCTGGGATGCCCTTTCTGGGGGTGCGAGGCATGGCCATATTTTTTGAGAAGGTAAATAATCGAAAAACACATTAAGCACGGGCATGTCAGCACAACCACTTTGTTTCATCAAACCCCCGATGTTTTTTAACGATCGAGGACCAAAGGGGTGCAAGGCTGCAGCGTAGGTTAAGAAGGGCTGAAATGTTGACGGCGTCAAATTACATCATTCCCGGCTTCATTGTCGCCCAATGTCTTCCCTGCGCCGTGACTCGACAGCAGCGCCGTGCCACTCAACACGACCACCGAGCAGGGGGCAGCGGGGGGGGCCCGACTGAGGGGGGAGGTGGCAGATGCTTCCCACAGTGCCCCCCCCCTCGCCTGATAATTAGCAACGGCCTGAGTATGCAGGTGTACGTCACAAGCCGTTCTCGTCGTTTTTCACGAATGTAATATTCGTGAAGAAATAAGTATTTGTCCTTAACGTACGCTCCATGTTGGATACTTTTAATTGGACATCGTGCGAACTTAATTTAGACGCCAGATATCCTTTACAGGAGTTGCCCCCCCCCCCACGTGACGATGTGATCTGGGCACGGCCCTGCCACGTGACGTCACGGCCCTGCCGCGTGACGTCACGCCCTACCGCGTGACGTCACGGCCCTGCCGCGTGACGTCACGGCCCTGCCGCGTGACGTCACGGCAGGACGATAATCGCGGTATCGGTGTCCCTTTGCTCGTGTAGTTGTATTTAGCACTTTTCGTAGTCTTAGTTTGTGCTTTGCTATACGAATACAGACGACTTACTGTATGCGGTTCACTCAAAAATCAGCGCGCTCTCGGTCTTCTAATCATCACGGTGTATAATACTTGTGATGCACATGCTGGCAGTACAAAGTTAATCTAATTCATGTTGAGAACTACGACGTCATGTAACCACCATGCAGTTCATTACTCCAGAATGTCTTTAAAAAACATTAATTTGCTGGACAATAGCAAGTTATTTAAACCATTCATAATTATGACTGTATTTCGAAATGTATTTTTTTACTACATAAATGTAATGTCAGGAGATTAATAATTTAATAAAAATGTAAGAAACAATAATCCCTAAGCTACAATATTTTAAAAACGAACGGCACGATAATGGTGGAGCCTGTATTTTACAATATATATTGTGGAATCCAAGAGCACGCACAACCTCACGTGATGTTTATACAGCGTTCACTTTCACAACACATTTCTTATCAATGGACGTGAATGCTTGCATGGGAAATCTACATTATGCCAAAGCATGGTTTTCTGTGGGAGCACGAGTTGGCTCACAGAAGTGTAACGCAAACGACGCTGTGAAAGTTGACTCACACCTACCCTGCTCCCAGTAGCGTGCAACGTTGGGCCGACGTTGGCACGAGGTTGAAACCCTTGGCCCAACGTCGACCCACGTTCAATGTTTATTGGGCCCATGCATTTGTACAAATGAGATACGAACGCAAAACAACGTGAATGCACAAGTCGTGAGTATGCAGCCCAGAGCACGGTTCACATGCGGTGACCAGACACAAGCGCGACACTCACGTTCTCCAGACACAAGCGTTACACTGACTCACATTTCACCTGGAACTGGATACAACAGAAGCAGCATGCCATAATAGTTATCGAGCAGTTAAGGGTACAATGAACCACACAGGAAGAAGTTACGTGGAAGAAAGCCAACATCAATACCACGTACGGATGATTGCTAGGACATGTGCAGGATACACTGCGGCTTTAAAACTTAGAAGCCACCCATTTAAGACCGCACGTTTGGAGGGGGGTGGCGGGGGGCATTAACAATTTGTGACGATGCCCAAGCGCTCGCACACGAGTCCAACAGCGAGAGGAGAACGCCTGTGGCTCGGTGCATTCGGAGATCTGGCACGAGTTCACGGAGTCAGCGAATGCACTCGGTGTGTCGAGCCAATGAAAGACAAAGAGGGATGGGCCAGGTGCAGTAGCACAAGATCTCGCGCTTTGCTCACATTGATGCTCCCCCCGCCCCATTGCGATTTAGGAAATCGTCAGGATGATTTTGGGGGGGGGCATGATTCAACGTCAGAATGAGACGATGACGATTGTTGTTCTGCGTGATGAGTGAAGCGGCCTCACAGTGGTCGCAGGGGCTGATCGTGTGGATCGCGTGCAACGCGCACCACGCGTGCACGTTGCACACGATCGAATCTTATGCGCGCGCGATTCCATCGATGTCCGACGATGCACTGTGAATTTTAAAATCAATTTAAATCGACGACTCTGCGCATCGTTACAACAGTACAAACCACGACAGCAGCGACAAAGGCCCGGTCATTGCTGTGTCTTGCATGCGCTAACCCATGAGGGCACAGGCAGAGAAGTACCTTGTGGGCTTTGGATCAATGTCTCCGTAACCACCCTCGTTCTATATCAGAACTCAGGAAGGAAGAGGCTGTTTACGAGCAGTGACCAGTGGTGTAGTAACGGCATTATCAGCTCAGGGGGTGCGGCAATTGGTCAGGTGGGCCCCAGTATTTGATTTATTTCGGACGGTCGCACTTAGAGGCTCTAATTAATTATACATCTCGGCACCTCTTACCTAATCACAGCATCGTTACGCTCACGGTCTCGAATACATAACGCTGTAGGGGCGCTCCCATATTCGCAAAATAAGTTGTTCTTTCAGTGTGGTTGTCAAGGGGGCCCAACTCGTAGCGTTGGCCACCCACGCTCGTTAACGCAACTGGCAGTGACCCTGGCAGTGACCCTGGCGTCACTGCGCAGCCAGGCTGCTCGGCCTGCACAAGGACACAGCGGTGCGGCCCGCAACACGATCATTTTTAGTTTCTCACATCTGATTAATGAACAACAACAACAAAAACAGCCCTGCAGCGGTTGCATTTGAGACAATGAAAATGAATCGTGTTAATAGCTTGCAGTCACCACGCAAAGATTGCCAAAGCCACTCATTGTCATTATGAAAGTTAGTTTGAAACACTGAGAGAGAGGTTCTCACATCTCCACGCACTTTTGGACAGCAGCTATGCTTCGCCTTTCTTTTCTCACGGACATTAACTGAACCTTATGGCGGGACCCCAGGGTCCAATAAGCCCCCGGCTCTCGCATAAACTGCGTTGTGACGTCATTTTATGTCTGTTGAAGGCGAACGACACGGCAATCTATTCCTCCCGGCGATTTATGTGCGCGGTGGGACGGAGTCGCCAATACATTAATTAATTAATGACAAGTTTGACTTCCGTTTATTCGTGACCCCGTGGTCCCGCCATACGGTTCAACCGACAATTAACAATACGAACGCATAATGCGTTGTTCTATCCTGATGAACCGTGGCTTGCATTCTAGCAGAGCGGCAGCAACGCTCGCTGCAGGGATGTAATTACGGAGGGCTGACAATGACAGAATAACACCACACATCTCAAAGTGCGCATCATTATACATCATCCACATCCCACTGCTCTCTACAATTTTACGAAGCTTTCACTTTGTCTTGCGGAAACGCATCGACAACTTTCACTGGGGATGTTAGGTGAGGGATGTTAGGTAAAATGCAAATAGCCTTTGCAGAACATATTGTTTTGTTGTCACGAAGATGACTGGCAGGTTTTTGTGTATTATAGTGTGTAACAAAAACATCATGAACAATACATTCGGGAAAATATTATTTACACTGCTGAGTCGTGGACAAAATGGAAAGCTATCAACTGGCATCATGTTGTGCCCAGCAAATCGAATGCTCCTAGTCGGGTATCACTCTCAGTACGTAGAGAAAGTGATGTTCACTCTTCGCATTCTATACTCGCCGTCACCATCAGGTAGTCGTGTTGCTGGGATCAAGGCTCCTTCCCTGTCGTTTCATAGATGCAACAAATCATATTTACTCGCTACTATTATTATTAATGATGACTTCACACAGGGTAGCTAACTCGAGCTACATCGTGCTCGTTAACAAACAAAAACTGCCGCGAGGGTAAATTACGTAATAAATCTGATGCGTAGATTAGAGTTTTTTTAACAAAACGTTACAGTTACTTTGTTAAAAGGGGTAGTAGGTACTTTGAAGTAACAATCTGCAGCGAATAGTTGGTCCCTGGTATTGATCACACTGTGTAACGTGACCTCAACATGAACATCAAACCGCTGCAAGCGTGCGATGTTCACGCGTCTTTAAAAATCAATGTCTAGCGATTAAAAATACAGTATACGGGTAAAAATCTAAACAAAAACACTTTCATTTTGTTCATGCAGAGGGCGAGATATGGGAAGTAGGGCGCAATGCATGCGTACTTGTTTCGTTAACTGAACGTGTGCGAGATGAATTCAGGAAGCCTAGCTGCACGGTGGATGCCCACTGCATCGAGTGGGGGGGGGGGGGGGGGGTCTTGTGGCAACGCGCTTCGCTTATTTACATCAAAACTGATCCACAAATCTTCAAGCCCACAACGTGCAAGAGAAGTGGACCGACACAGCATTAATGCGCTGCTCAATCTAATTCGGCGGGCCCGATTTGCGGAGCGGCTTGTGTGTGTAAATAAATTACTTTCTCATTCATAATAGAGTTTTTTGGGTTAGATCGTGTAAATATTTACGCGATCTAACCCAAAAAACCTCTATTTACGTGATCTAACCCAAAAAAACCCTCTTATTATGGATGATATTGGTCGCGAAAGCCTACGTGTTAAACTAACTTTCTCATGCGCACCGCCGCCACTGCCTCCGAACGGGCTGCGACGCGTCGCAAGGCCGCGCGTCCCAGCGTCTGCCCTCGCTTCAGACAGCGCGCAGACAGAGAGACTGATGAGAAGGGAATTCCCTGGATCTCCATCGTGCGGGTCTCGTCGCAAGGATTACTCACGAGTTCGGGTCACGTGCTTCTTTGGCTGGCCATCAGGCAAAGAGGGCGGTCACCGCATCGCGCGCTTTCGGGTGCGCTTCTGCGGCCGTCTGGAACGCTCTTCCTTTCGACATTGGGAAGCGACTGGCGCTATGCACATTTACATCATCGAGATTGAAAACTAATTTCTTTAGAACTGCTTTTTGTGTTTAGTTTGTTGTCCTTCCCGCACACCTCTGCTTTACACGGTTGGCTACTTAAGTTGCGAAAGAAGTTCAAAATACATAGATACGAGGGCACCAAAACTAACTCCACCATCGCTGCTGACAACAGCTACCTGGCCTGTGCCAGGTGTTTAACGCCTCGTGCGCACTCTGTCCAATGCGTGGGCGACCAGTGGCTCCCTCACAAAATCAGCGCCCAGGTGGACGAGACGTTTCATGCAGCAGACTTCAGTTGGATAAGTTAAACTCGTGGCACAAGAACGGTAGCTTCTGTCATCCTGCTACTTGCTGAAGATTACTTGACCATCGTGCGTCAAGGCGAGACATCTTCACAAGGGGAGAGCTACAACTGCAGTGATAATATGTTACTGTGTGTATCTCGAACAATAAACACGGCATATATATGGCGTCGCTTAAATGTGCCAGCAACTCAAAATGCCTTACATCACATCTCAATCATTCGAAGGGCACCCCCAGTGGCAACTGTCTCAGTGTCAGCACAATGTCACAAGATGACTCAGCATCAGCCTTATTCTCGCATTAGTCTGCCAGTAGGGGTAACGATTGCTATATTTAATCTCAATTGCCTAAATGAATCACCTCGGGCTCTAAGTAAACAACACTACTGACTATAAAGAATGGTGCCGAGCCATACGCTCTGTCCCACAAGCATTGAGTTGATTTCCCACGCCACATCCTAACCCTGACCATAAAAACACACGGCATGTGTGACGTCCATACATCTACACGCTACAGCTGCAGCCCTTACGAAGCCACGTTGAATTATCTATGCGGTATTCCACTTTCGGAGAACAAAATATAACATCAATTGACTGATGGTTTAAAAAAAAGCGAGACCTAGTTTAGATAGATGACCTGTAGAGACATATGCAACAATGGCCCATACAGCGATAACAACAGCAGCAAAACAGAAATGTACACGGGTGAGAGATGTCACACGGGCTCACAGGCCGCGAGCCGCGTGCGGTTGGCAGCGCGGGCGTCGTTGCCGGTAACGTCCCTCCTCCGCTCCGCGTGCCCCGCGCCACGTCTCAGCCTCCCCTCTCCGCGGCGTCGCCCGCTCGTCCCGGGTCGGGCGCGCTGGTCGTGCACAGCAAGGAGACCCTCATACCCGGCGAATACTGCAGTGGGGCGAGAGACGCACGTCGTCGAGTCAGGCTACTGGAAGAAGCACAGCGGTAGGGGCAGCTGGAGACGTGCTAGTTGGCTTTTCGCGACAGATATTATCAGTAGCAAAGGGGGTTTTTGGGGGGTTAGATCGCGTAAATATCGCAGCCAATTAGTTAGATTTGTCACGTAAACAAAACGTGCAAATTAGTTACTACTTCGAGCGCGTGCTGCGGTTTCCAGCACGTTCTCCATTAACGCCGATGATCGGGATTGAAATCGGTAATCGTTGCTTTTTGAAAGACGAGCAGAATTTTTAATATTAGACTGCTGCAGATTTATATTCACGTTAGATTAATCGATTTAGCTTTGTGTGTTCGGTTTGCTGTCCTTCCCACGTACCTCTCATTAGCACAGCTGGCTACGTACGGTGCGAAAGAAGCTCAATATACATCAAACGTTCGATCAGGGACTGGTATAAATAGAAGAGCAAGGCAGGCTTCCTTCAATTAATCTTTGTTTTTTAAAGAATGAGTAGCAACATTTAGGTATGAATCACTGGGAGATTTTACATGTGTTTACTTTATTCTTATAGTCATAAAACGATTAAAAAAACGATTAAAGTAGATTTGTAATCCTTCACCATCCAAGCACCCTCAGGGATGGCAATGTGCCGCGAGTGGAGCACACACAGAATGGAAACGCGAATGTTGACAAGCGACAACAAATGGGCCAACACCTCCACGAATGTTTCCAGACGCCAACTTCAGATGAAACGTAAAAGGAAAATAAACAAACACCAAAAGTACATCTACTACAGAACATGGGAAGAGTATATATTTATAGACCTTTTGCAATGTTGGACTTTCAAAGAACAATCTTCCTCCGTCACTGCAAACACGAGCCTCCTATCGGAGGGCTCCCGTGCGAAGCGGAGATTCGTTCAACTTGGCGAACCTGCCTACGACGCAAGCCCTCACGCGCTTGAGTCTCGGCAAATCATTATACTTGATGAAAAGTGCAAACAGCGTTCGTAAAAGCCAAAGGTCAAATTGATTGAAAAAAAGAGGGCAGATTATCAACGTTGCCGAGTGCACAAAGCTTGTGCAGAACGCGTGACAATGATAGATGGGTCGATGCAACGCAGTCTCCTCGTGCTTTATTGACAGTCAAAATTGCAGGAAATCTCTGTATGGCTATGCTTTGCAGTTTCTCTTTGTGTACATGTTTCAATGACTCCTGTGTTATGAAACTACAAGCTACACTGTGATAACTTTAATGTAAATGTATGTGTATGTCATTACGTTTCATTTGAGGCAGTTTAACCGCCGTGACTGGAAGAGCGAATCCTCTAAGAGCACGAATTCAAGATGTTGGGGAATGAGATTTCCAAGCGTGATATCTGCTCGATTATCACCCGTTAATAATCTTAAAATGTTGATGGAACAATAGAACAAGACATCATTTCATCAGAAAGTAATTTGAACGTGCGTTTTCTTTGCTTTTTTAACAATGAACTATCGCTAAACGGACACAGTCGTTCTAGATTTGAAGTTATTTCGGTAAAGTCACGTAGGTATAAAATAAAACAAATCACGACGTTTTGGGCGCAACACAACCACAGCAAGAAGTGGGCAAAGGGCTGCCGTGACAAGAGGCTATATAGGTAAGAGAGGGGGAGGAGCCAGGGAGGAGATATATAGAGGGGGGTGTGGGGTAGTGGAGCGCTGCGAGAGCTTCTCGATCTCTCCTCCCTGGCTCCTCCCCCCTCTCTCACCTGTATGGCCTCTTGTCACAGCAGCCCTTTTGCCCACTTCAGCAATTGTTTCTTGCTGTGGTTGTCCACCTGATGGCGGACGCTTGTGTTGCGCCCGAAACGTCGTGATTTGTTTTATTTTATACCTACGTGACTTTACCGAAAGAGCCAAAGAGTATGGTCAAACTCATATTTGCTTTGTGACTTAAGGCGACTGGACTCTCTACTCTCATAGCTCCGACCATGGACCAGGCAGCTTTAGATGACGACTAAATCGTTGTTCATCGCCAACGATTCTCATTCCACTTGCTGGATGAACATCTCGCCCTGCTGCCATCACGGTGCACGGTCGCTGGCACGTGCCAATCAGCCGGTCTGATGACACTGTGTAACAGATACAAATAATTTGTTCCTGGGTATTAAGTGTTATTTCCTAATTGCTTATGCTTCAAAAGTATATAAAATGGCTATTATTCCCCACAAACCTTGCTTTTATGACCAGGACAGTGATATTTAGAAATTGACCTATTTTCAATGAGAAAACGTGGCGTGCATTTGTCTTTCGTTCACGTAAAGTCCTGGTCACAAAAGCAAAAGTTGTGGGGAATAATAGCCATTTTATATACTTGTTAGGCATTCGCAATTTGAAAAATAACAACTACTACCCAGGAACAAAAAATTGTGTTACATAGTGTTATGCCTCTGGCGTGGGGCAGGTTGATGCGCAGGCCCCGTTGTGTATCGATGCGGAGGCTGAGTGCTGCGGGAGTGGGTGCCATGAATGTCCGACACGCTGTCAGCAGTGCCCGGCCTTCGCCGATGTGCCTCGCGTTGTGGCTACTCCTCCGCCGGAGTCCTGGGTAACCACCCACGCCCTGCCGTGCGACACCGGGCCGTGCATGCCCGTTGACTTGCAGCGCTGCTGAGCTGCACCGCTCCAACTGCTGGCAGATTTTTATAGACGCGTGGTGTACACGTTGCTGCGAGCGTTGCTCAGAATCTGTGAGATGTTGTGCACGAGGCTCCCACGTGTTCACGCATCACGCACTTCACTGCACACGAGCAGAACCGTCGTGAGTGAGCGCAGCACTGAAAGATGTCCCGAAAGAGCCCTGCTGGGAGCCCGTGACGATCAAGTGGACATCTGTAAAAAAAGAGCTTGATAGCTCATCAGATTCCTCCGTTATAAATACATATTCTGATTCTCATCTTGCTGCATAAGAGTTTTATTTATTTATTATTAATTTAGGAACTTAATTATGTTGTAATTGTCCTGGAATACAAAATACGTTTCCACAAAGCGAAATAATTTTCGTACCAAGTAACATCAACATATTGATGATGTGATGTTCGGCACGGTAACTGAATCGCCGTAAGAAGAACAAAACAAAGATATGCTTGCTTGGCAGAGAGGTATTAATCTTAATTATCTTCATGACAAATATCCGAATGCTAGCCTTTTGCCCGTCCAAGGACGGGTGTATTTCAGTAAATCTGAAACTTGCAAGCGGAAAGCAGACCGAGATATTCATTGCATCCACTCGTGTGCAATTAGTAAGGGCGCGGTGACACAGACTTATTTCATTTAAAGGTTATAATCCCTTGTTCATCACGACGTCCTTTTTACTTTGATGTCTCAACAGCGCTACGGAGATCGCGTGACGTGAGGGTTCTGCCTTTGTAGTGAGGGTTGTGAGTTGACGCCGAGGAGGGGGGAGGAGGCGCCCCCCCATGTGGAGTGACATCACCCGCTAATTATTATTAATGAGGGGGGTGTCCATTTGGAAGACGTCACCTCTTCATGATTATTAATGAGGGAGGCTGTTCGATGTGGAGTGACGTCACCTGCTCATGGTTGTTGAGGGTGGGGGTGCTACATGTGGAGTGACGTCACGCGCAAGACAGGCATTCTTGGCTCATATACAGTAGTAGTAAATATACCTCAAGGGATCACTGTACAGCACAGACACTACGGGATGGGGGGAGAAGGGGATGATGGCCCCCACCCCCCACCCACTCCCCACCTACTCCCCACCTCGCCACCTCCCACCCACTCCCCACCCACTCCCCTGCCTGTGGCCACAAAGAATTTCGTGGCAAGAGGGAAAAGAGATGAATATGTCAGGTCCATGTCGTGGAAATTATCGTGGAAATTAGCGGTGGAATGATTTACCTCGTCCGGCTACCGACAGGCGATTCAGGACACACGACGTCTTGTGGATCAGATCTTATTTATTCACGATGTACTTACAAAAAACATCAGCAGACTACCTGCTGGATCTCCGCTCTGTTTCGAAGAATAAATGTGACCTAAGGTCTTCGCTCATTTACCAGCTTCACATTCCTTATTGCCGTACAAATACTGGAAGGCCCTTTGCTGTCGATGCCCCCAGGGTCTGGAATGCTATCGCCAATAAACTGCAACTTGGATCACTATCTATGAGATCTGCACTCAAAACTGCTCTTGAGGAGCTGTACACCCCTAGCTGCCACTGCTATGTAGAGTGGCCTGAAATCAAATGCACCTCTCTAGATGTCCGCTGCAAAGTATGATCTTGAGTTTCGATTAATGTGTACTGATCTTGAAAGGTGCATTGAATATTTTTTATACTTCTGCTGATACTCCTGCTGTTATGGAGTGACTCATGCAACCAGTTATGGCTGCAAAGTTTGGTCGTACATGTTATGTATATCGTTTATTGTTAAATTTGAATCACAATTCCTATGATCACTGTTACATTGTTTTATAGTTTTATTTTGGTGATATTCGAAAACGTATGGTTAAGCCATGTTTGTTTGTTGAAGTACGGAGTTAGCCTGATAACTTTATCTAAATTGTCTCATGATTGTTATTGTTCGACTTGCATCCCATTGGGATTTTTGCACACAGCGTTGATGTATGGTGCTTTGTTACACGTTTTTATTTAACTCACTCTGTCTGTTGTCGTATCCTAAAAAAAGCTTGTAACTCAATTTTTACCCACTTCCCAATGTGCTATCGAATGCAACCTTGGTATACTTATGTCATACTGATGACAAGACTGTATTCTATCATAAAAAAGATAAAAATAAAGATTTTTAAACATTCTTTTACACGCTTTTGATAAACTCACTCTGTCTGTTGTATCCTCAAATCTTGTAACTCAATTTTAACCCACTTTCCAATGTCGTATCGACTGCAAACTTGGTATACGTACGTAATACTGGTGACAATACTATATTCTATCATTAAAAATAAAAACATATTTCTAAACAATC